TGGTGTTTATATTGATTCGTAATTCAAGAATAATGTGTCAAGATAATTTGATATAGATTCTCCTTTTTTAACTACTTTTTAACTTGCCGCCTCGCTTTAGAAACTTATTATTTGCTATACGTATCATTAAAAGTTATCCTACTTAATTCAGAAATTTACTCAGGTTAAATAATACAACAAGAGCATCACATAGTTAATTGTTACAGTGCAGAAAAGTAATTTGAATACTTGTAAAATTTCTAGCTTTTGCGTTGTTCAACTATAGTTATTTACTTATATACAAAAGGGACTGTTATTTTTTGTTATTCTACACTATTTACGTAAATTCAATTTAACCTTATGTATTTTTTACATTTTTAATTAAATTACATTTTTTAATTAAACTTTTTATATTTCTAACAGCACATGTAGATTCTGAGAATATGTAAAGGATATTGTAAAAATAGATTACATTTCGTTCATACATATATTTGAGATATGTATACAAAAAATATGACTAGTTTTTTTTTCCTTGCGTTAATTCGAATTAAGATCATATTTTAATATATAGTTACTATAAAAAATACATTTCTGTTATCTAAATGATTGTCTAAGAAATACATTTTTAGATCTTTATTTACATATTCTTTATACTGAATAGTGTACTAATGTAATTATATTTCTCAGAATAGAAAACTTGAATATACAATATTTTCAGTGTAACAGTTTTTATACATAATATATATAATATAATTATATATATATTGTGTGTGTGTGTGTGTGTGTGTGTGTGTGTGTGTGTGTGTGTGTGTGTGTGTGTGTGTGTGTGTGTGTGTGTGTGTGTGTGTGTAAAAAGAATATACGAAATTTACTTTTATGACATTTTCCAGATATTTTCAGAATCAACATTGCCATTATAAATAGGAATAGTCGGAATATTACTTTATTATTATAATATTATTTTGATAAAGCTTTATACGAGAAGCGTCTGTAAATTGAAAATCAAAAACATATATTTTCTGAGACTATTTAAATTACATATTTTATTTTGATAAATATAAATGTTTAAAACTAAACTGAAACTAAAATTAAAAGTTTTAAATACGAAAAAGTGTAGTTCATGTAGCAGGTATATATTTTTTCATTATATTGGTCGATATGAAAGTAGTATGCACTATTATAGATTAGTATAGACTACAGTTGTATCTAATATATATATATATATATATATATATATATATATAATGTATATGTAATGTATATGTAATGGGTTATAAACTAGTTTTCTCTTCCGAAATGAAGAATTGAAGAATATGAATTTCAATTACTTTTTTCACAGAAATTTGATTCGCTAATCGGCGCAATTGTTATTTTCAGCACATATATTTTACAAATCAATAATTTCAGATTATTGGAATATTTTCATTACATTACAGAGCTGCGATATCATGTGTCTCTTATTATTTTCACATCCTGTTAATAAACTGGAATATTGCTGCGAAAGTGCGAGCATTTTGCTTGCGGCAACGTAATTTCTTTTTCTCCGTATTACGGTGCCACATGGTAAAAGTTGCTCTTAACGTGGAGGTCTTACAATGCTAAAGTGAAATATCATGACATGGACAACGGCCTTACCCTTTTCGTTAATTGTGTGTCCATCATAAAGTTGTGCACGTGCTTCTCCGCCCGCGTAAGTTCGAGCTTTCTGGAGACGACTGCTACCAGTAAAGCGGTACACCCGGCGCCCTGAAAATTTAGGAAAATACAATTTCGCATGAGCTTCTTTCGTGTTCTTTCATGAAATTTCTCGAATTTAAAATTTTCGCTTTTCGCGCGCACCCGACATTCCTACGTGCATTCGGATTTCAAGATAGTATTTTCCCGATTTTCGTTGATCAAGCTCAAAACGAAACGTGATAAAAAGTTTTTTATTTTATTCATAATAATATCCAATATCTCACCGGTATCGACTGTTTTTCGCGGTCTTTTGTAGGTCTTCCAGTACCTTCGAAAAGTTACTCCCCCCCCCGCAAAATAAAAAATAATTGCAAAAAATTGAATCCAAAAAAAAGACATGATGAGTCGATAAGTACATATATTATTTTTGAGTTTGAAATTAAAATTGAAAGAAAGAATTTTTCAAAGACATTCGAACAGAAGCTATAACAATTTTTTTGCCATTAATATAACGAAAATAAAAAGAAGAAATTGTTTTAATCGTTATATGATCAACATATGTATCAATAATAATAATTAAATTTATATTTCAAATAATATAAAATAATCATAATTTTATCATGAATATCGTTTCATTGTAATTATCGTTTATAATTTCCATTATTATTATCGTTTAAACTGATTTATTACATTTTCTTTAAACAACATTATTAATCGAACTGTCTATTCTATCGTAAAGAAGGAACGTTGTAAGATGAGATTGCTTTTCATTCGCCGCTGGAAACTAATAGTCAGAACTCCAAGTAGAGAGTAATTTCGCACAATTTACGAGATGCATCGAGAGCATAAATGTACACGAGAGATAAAGAGAAAGAGGGAGAGAGAGAGAGAGAGAGAGAGAGAGATAGAGATAGAGAGAGAGAGAGAGAGAAAAGGAAATTTCATAAGGGCAGAGAAAGCTGGTTTCGGAATGTATTGTAAATTATGATCGCGACTGGAAACAACCGGAAACAACCGTCGTTCTCAGAAAGCGGAAGTTTACGAGGAATTAGTCCACATCGTTGGAAATCGCTGGAACCAGTCGCGCTCGGTCGAAAACTCGATAGTTGCGAGCTTAACGGATTAGCCAAGAGCGCGGGGGAGGGGGGGGAGGGATCGAGAGGGGAAAGGGACGACGGAGGGGAAAGGAGGGGACAGTGTGATGACAGTAAGGAGCGGCTCCTGCTTTCCCCGGAGGGGAAACGTGGAGCGGACGTGACGTTTATTGCGTCCCTGCGCTCTGCCTTTAATTACACGGCGGTTACCGTACGACCGTAAAACCGAAAGCGTCGAAACGCGCGGCGGCGGCGGCGCACAAATCACGGGCGGGCGATCCGCAACCGGTCCGGTATACGCGAGCGATCGATCGATCGTCCGCTCGCGACGCTCGTTACGCTTGTAACGGTGCTTGGGGCGCGAGTTACATCGGGTTACATGCCTGCCTGGAGTCGACTCGCGTCTCGATTGCGGTCTCTCGGTTGCGGTCGCCGTATATATTGTGCCCTCTCCCCCCCCCCCTCCCGTAGTTTGCTACGGTAACTACGCTAAGAATTAACGACCGTGGTGATCGGCGACACGACGCCGACATATAATGCGCCACCCGTAATTTTTCGACGATTTTAATAAGGACAGTCGGGTTTACGTTTAGTGACAGTTGTCGTCGTCGTGTCCCCCATTTGAGAAAACGATTTTAGCACCATATATAAGCGTCACGTAAGTATCACATAATGTTTTTCAATTTTTGACAATTATGTGTAAAATTAAGCTTGAGCCAATTTGATAATTGGTTAACACTCGCAACTATCGAGTTTCGATAGTAGCGCGACTCTGGTTCCAGCGATTTTCAGCGATGTGGATTAATTCCTCGTAAACTTCCGCTTTCTGAGAAGAACGGTTG